TCTGCCTCGCACTTGGACAGCGTCACCACCTTCTGTTTCAGCGACAACCATAAGATTGTAGCCGACCCGAAGAAGACGAGCACGCCAGAGGTGCTTCACCGTCCGACGATGTCTCCCGCCATGTCTGCATCACTGAACACAGTGAGCTGCAACCCACTTCCGCCGGTCTTGGGGAAGACGATCCCCTAATCCACCGTTTCCTCGACGTAGCGCAGCAACCGCTTCACCACGGCCCAGTGATCCTCTCGGGGATCCTCCATGAAGCGGCTGATGGCCCACGACGAACGCAATGTCCGGCCTCGTGTGGACTAGGTAGCGTAGACCACCGATGATGCTTCGGAAGAGTGTTGCATCTACCTTCCCCACGGTATTGGTCTTCGTCAGCTTCAGTCGCTCCTTCATCGAAGTCACGCACGGCTTTGCACTCAGCCATGTCGCTCCGCTCCAATAGCTTCGAGGCGTACGCGCTCTGACCGAGCGTAAGTGCCTCCTTCCCCTGTCTCACCTTGATATCGAGGTAGTAGGAGAGCGCGTCGAGATTGCTCATTCGAAAATGAGCCACCATCTCGCGCTTGAAGCTATCAATGTCCTCCGCACGCGCGCCAGTGACGATCAAGTCGTCCACGTACACGTCGACGGCGAGCTCCTCCTTCCCCCGTCGCCTCGTGTAGAGCGCATGCTCAGTTGCACACCATGTGAACCCAAGCTCGCTCAGCGTGGCGTCAAGCTTGGTGTTCCATGCTCACGGGGCCTGCCGTAGCCCGTAGAGCGCCTTGCGTAGTCAGAGCACCCTGTGCTCCACTCCCTTGACAGCAAAACCCAGAGGTTGCCTGATAAAAACCGTCTCTGCCAGCTCACCATTGAGGAAGGCCGATTTTACGTACAGGTGATGAACGCGCCAGTCCTTCGCTGCTGCCAAAGCCAGCAGCAGTCGGATAGACTCCATGCGCGCTACCGGCGCGAAGACTTCCTCGAAGTCGATGCCCTCATGCTGGACAAAGCCTCGGGCGACAAGGCGCGCCTTATGCTTGACAATGGCACCGTGCTCATCTCGCTTGACCTTGTACACCCACTTCATGTCGATCGGACGGCATCCTGGAGGTGGATCGACGAGCTCCCAAGTCTCGTTTCCTCGATCACCTTCATCTCCTCTAGCATCGTCCGTCGCCAATTTGCATCGCGCTCGGTCAGCGTGAACGTGGTTGGTTCCTCTGCACCGACGAGAAGCAGCTCTAGGTCATTGAGCAGCCGTCCCGCCAGGCCTAAGGACCCTGTGCCGCTGACGACCAGCCCGCGGAACTACACCTCCTCACCATCGTGGAAAGCATCCATGAACTCAGTGATGTCGCTTGGAGGTGAGGCAAACTCGATCGACGTCGATGGAGTCCCCTGTTCTGCCGGAGTGGTCAGCACAGCACCACTACAGGACCGCTCAACACCACTCCAGGAGTGCTCGGCACCCCTCCTAGAGTGCTTGGCACCGCCCCAGGAGTGCTCAGCTCTGTTGCTGGAGTGGTCGGCACCTCCTCTACAACGTCTACACCACTGTGGATGACCAAGTGCTCGATGACGAAGGTGCTGGTGAAGCCGCCAGCTTCCACCGTGCTCGGACTGTCCTAGTCCAAGGCTGCCTTCTCGTCGAACACGACATCGCGCGAGACAACCTCCTTGCCTCCACGTGGGTCATAGAGCCGGTACACCTTGATACCTTCCACGTAGCCTAGGAGCACCATCGGTGTGCTCCTGTCCTCCAGCTTGGTGAAGACCGGCTTCGTCTTCCTAACGTGGCCGATGCAATCGAATGTCTAGAGGAAGGACACGCTCGGCTTGCGCCCATACCAAGCTTCGAACGACATCACGCCCTTCAGGGTCTTTGTGGGTGCGCGGTTGAGGATGAACACCACCGTGGTCATCACCTCACCTTAGAACCTTGCCGGCATGCTCTTGGCATTCATCATGGATCGAGCCATGCCGACCACCGTCTGGTTCCGTTGCTCCACCACGCCATTATGTTGTGGCGAGTACGGCGCGGTGTGGTGTCGCACCACACCCTGATCAGCGCAGTACGCAGCGAACTCCACCGAAGTGAATTCGCCACCGCGTCAGTCCGCAGCACGCGTAGCTTCTTGTCGCTCTTCACCTCCGCGCGCGCCTTGAACTTCTTGATCGCCTCCTCCGCCTCGTCCTTACTCGTCAGGAATTGCAGCCACATACAGCGACTGCAATCATCCACGAGCAGGAGGAAGTACCGCCGACCACCATTTGTGGCTAGCTTGATTGGCCCGCAGAGATCGTCGTGGACGAGCTCGAGAGCATCCGCCGTGCGATGCTTGGCCACCTTTAGGGTTGATAGCCTCCTCTGTTTCTTCCCGGCCAGGCAGCTGTCACATAGCTCGCCTGCATGCGATGTCGCCGTCAGGAGAGTGACCTCATCATCCTCATCAGCCTGCGCTAAATGAGCCTCAGCCTTCTTCTTCTGCTTGCGATTTGAGCACTCCTTTGCCCAATGGCCCGTATTCCCGTAGCGCCGACAGGCGTTGGGGTCGACCTTCTTCTTCTCCGAAGAAGCCTTGCCGCGGCGCTTGCCATTGCCACCGCGGCTGGAGAAGGCTTCCCCGGAGTTCCTCCAGGCAGCCCACTCCTCCTTTGTCAGCAGCAGCTTATTGCTGTCCGTCGTTGCTGTGGCCTGCTCCATGCGCTCGTCCACTGCCCGCAGATGGCATGTCATATCCTCAATAGTGAGGGTGGACAAGTCCAACATCATCTCTATGGAGAGAGCGATCTGGATGTACTTCACTGGCATGGAGTGGAGGTACTTGTAGACCGATTTTTCTTCGTCGATGGTGACGCCGTGGCTCCTCAGCATGTTGATAAGCGACTACAGGCGGAGGGAGAAGTCCTCCACCGATTCACCATCCTTGAATTTGAGGTTGACGTACTCCTGCTTTAGCAGCTGGGCCGTCGCCTTCTTTGCGCTGTCGGAGCCGACGCGCATCGCTGCAATGGCCTCCCACGCCTTCTTAGTAGAGTTCTTCGCCCCCGAAGGCTCCCTGTACTCCGCTGGCACAGCAGCGAGGATAGCCTTTAACGCTGACATGTCATCTTCTTCGTTGTCGGTGTCCTTGTCAATAGCATTCCAGAGCCGTCGGGTTCTGAGCTTGACCTTCACGGTCACCGCCCACTCGCCATAGTTGGTGCGAGTCAGCGTCGGTCAACTGGTGCCGCTGACCTCCCACACCATGCGCACGACGACCTCCTGTCGTGGCTGGGCAGCCACAGCAGCGCCGCTGCTGTTGTCCATCTCTAAACCGTCCGTCATCGCTAGCGGTTAATCCGGCGACGACGCTTGTACGGCTTTGATACCATTTGTTGCCCCCTGGATCTCCCAACGGGTGAGCCGACTGCTCACCGGCGTTGCCGACCACATAGTATGGTTAGAGGTAGAATAAGGGAGGGAGAACAGAGCGCACACACATAGCACAAGCACCAGCGGTGGCCGAAGCTCTGCAGAGGAGATGGCAAAACTGAACTCGCTCTCTTTACTGAGTTGTAGTGGGAAGCTATAAATATAATTCTACCCATCTAATTCCTAGTACACAGACATATCAAGCTGTCGTGCTGCTACAGTAACTAAATGTGACAACATGGGAGTATTTGGCAACTGTTGAAGACATCCTAGCTACTTAAATTTGATCAAGCTGATCATGAACCTCCTTGGCCATAAATCTTTGCCTGAGCTCCGCCAATGCGACCACCATTTGTGTTGGCATTGGACTCGAATTCAAATCAGCTTGAGGGGCGCAACTCACCATAGTGGCATCTCTACAAATGCTTGCAGAGGAGAGGTGGCAGTTGCCCTGAGACAAATGTGTATGCCATAAGCATCTCCTAACAAAATAGCTTGTCTGGGTCATATACTATGTTGCAACTTGCAAAAAAATTCCATAAATCTTGAAGTTGCCTACGTACACTCCAATTTTCATAGAATCCCGCACTGAAGTTTTTGGATGGAGCTTTAAACCTGGGTTGACATGTTCTACCACATGAAATCTAATTAATTTAGAGCTGACATCTTACTGCATTGCTATAGAAATTGTAATAGGGTAGACTATTTTCTAGCAATTAATACAAGGCCACAAAAAATGAGTGGCGTATTACTCCTGATCAAAAGGAACCTCCCCCGGTATATCAATTTCACTATAAATTACTCTTAATAAAATACAAATCGTACAAGAAAAGTTCACCTGTATCAACAAAGTCTAGTGTCACAAAGTGGGTTATTTTTGCGAAAATATTTTGCCAAGTCTAAGATTTCTTTTGGCAAAAACTTTTCAAGATAACGCTTGGACCATCATCGTTCAGTTTAAGACAGGCAAGTTATATACATTCTACAAAATCGATATGATTTAATATATTTAAAAGTATTTATAAAGATTATAGTTTTATTTGCATTTTAAATATGTTATAAAAAAAATCTCGCAAAAAAGTTAACAAAAAAGTTATATGATAAAGGCCAATTTTATATGACCAAGCCATGTAAAAATGAATGAAGGGGATTTCAGTTTCAGACGGTTTGCTACACTTCTCAACCGTCACCAGCGGCCCATTTGTATCGCTCAATTTCAAATCAAATTATAAAGTCAGAACGACTTGTACCTGTAATTCAGAATGGAACGAGTACTTTTGTACCAACACAAAATTCCAATTGATTTCCAGCAGAACCGCAGCCATAGGCATGGAACTATGTAGTGAGTACTTGTATCGCTCGAGCAAATCTGATTTATGGGTCTTTTGATCATGGACAATTGGATTTTGGCCTTTTGGTTTGAACGTGAATGGTGGAGCCGATCCGATCCGCGCGCCTGAAATTCGACAAGATCTACCCCAAGTGGCCAAGTGCAACACGCGCACTCTACGAACCGGATTCAAACGGTTTCAAAAGCGCGACCCCACCGCCGCGGTCCACGGCTCCCGTTTCCGCCCGCGCCACACCACACGCCATGGCCTCTCCGCCGCGGGGGCAGCCCCAGCCCGCCACCGCCGCCGCGCCGGCGGCCGCGGCCGCCACGTCCCCGCAGTTGCCCGCCGCATCCCACCCGCTGCCCCGCGCGTTCCTCGCCACCTCCTCCCCCCGTGCCACAGCGGCGGCACCGGCGCCCCCGCTCTTCACCGGCCGGCCGCTGAACCCTAACCCTCCGGGCCACGGCTCCTCCGTGCCCCACGGAATCCTCTACCCCGTCCTGAGATCCGCGTCCACGTCCAACTCCGCGGCCGCGGCCGTTACCGCGCACCTCCGCCGCGTTCCTCCGATGGCCGTCGGGTACCCCCGGACCCACGCCGTCGCCGTCCCCATTGCGCAGCAGCAGCAGCAGCCCCTGGTGCGCGAGCTGCCCCGGTCCTTCGCGGCCGTGCCTCGGGCGCTTGTGGCGGGCGTGGCGGCGCGGCCCGAGCAGCCTCCCCGAGGAGTTCCTATAGCTTCGCAGCCCAAGGTCAGTGAATTTTTGTTCGTAAGCTCTGAATGGAAGGTGAATTGGACTAAAGCTTCGGTCCTCCAATTAAACGTTTGCTTGTAGTTTTGGATTGCTATCGGTAAATTTTGATTTTTTGAGTCTTATGGAGCACGTGGAGGCTTGGGCCTGATGCTTTTGAGGTGTTCGATTAAATATCTGTCTATATTGTGGGATGTTACGATGTAGCTAAAGTGATCTAATGGCAACGTGTGTGGTTAGTCATTGGTCATTCAGTCCTCGTGGAATACTGGAGAGAATAAATCAGGGTAGCCTGTCGTCTTAGCATGTTACTCCGTCGATTTCAAAATGCAGGGGCATATTAGGATTTTTAAAAAAGTCAATATTGTGTTCATATTTTACATGCCTTCTAGTAGTTATATGTTGTAAGAGAAATTAATAGCCAAATCATACTTTGAAAGACTTCCTCAAGTTGAATATTAATATGTTTTGTTCTGTTTCTGTTGGAACATCATAGGTTAATCCAATACCACCTGTTGCTCCATCCAATGAGCAGAGCAACCCAAAAGACAGGTATGCAACAAAACAATAAGCACATGTGTTTCTCATTTGGAATCAAAACTTGTAGCATAAAATGTTGCAGTTGACTTCACTACAGGGAAAATAGCAGAGAAGAACCTACAGTTGTGGTGATTAATGACCGCAAAGTAAGTACTTGTTCTTTGGGCGAATTGCAATAGTTTAATCATTGTGTTATTGTCAGTAACTCAGTACATGGTCTAGTTAGACTGCGATGATTGTACTTTCTGGATAGTTTTAAATTTTTCCAGTGAATAATCCGCATAGAAATGGATCACAGGATCCGTGATGACATTTGACTTTACATATTTTAATACACCCTTTGTTCCATATTGTAAGTCGTTCTGGCTTTTCTGGATACTACTATGTATCCAGAAAAGCCAGAAGGACTTACAATTTGGAATGGAGGGAGTATTTAGTAAAGAGGCGGAAAAGGTTATGACAATGTTATATGCTATCTTCATTTCTCTTTTCCTGTTTGAACAAGACAACCTGGTTCGGTTTCATATTCTTCAAACAGTTATGATCATATTGATACTTAAGTTATAAGTCAGGACTATCATCTTATTTATGAAGGGATTGTTATGCTGCTAAATAAGGACCATTCTGCTAAAGTTTATAGATAAATAACATGGGTTGCACAGAACGGTTAACATTTCTTATGGTTTTGTATTGGTTGCTCAAAGGTTAACCTGCGGGATAGTGAGTTGGGATCCTTGTACGCTCTCTGTCGATCGTGGGTTCGTAATGGTGTTCCACATGAAAGTCAGGTTAGCATACTTTTCTTCTTTCATATGAATGTAGCAGTTGGTCACATGGTTGCTTGTTAAAACTGTTCTGAATTAGCATTGTTCCTTTACTATGAAATTTCTCTAAATTAGCTGTCTAACATTCCTCAAGTGTCTTTATGGCGCCTTCTCTCATTATCTAAATCTTTTACTTTGATTAAAATTATGTGTTTTTCGTACAGATATTTGTATGATGTATGAAAAGTAATACGTTCCTGCTCAGATCCCTTTATCTTGGATATTTGATCAGTATATGTCAAAAATCTGAATCTTTGCTTAGGAGTCAATCTGCTTTCAGAAATTAAGTGTTGATATTTTTCCTTGACAAATATTTACTTGTATTTATGTCTAGAATGATTTAAATTCTATGCTGTACTATAAAAACATGATTTGAGTTATATGAAGGCAAAGATATTCTGCAATGATCAGTGAAAGATGTGTGTCTTAAATTGTAAATTTGTGTTTATTGCTTTTGATTTTGTTTCATCTAGAGGCTACATGTGTTCGATTATTTTAGTTCATGTAGTTTAAGAAGCTTCATGCCTGTCTGAATTGCTAAATGCAGTTTATCAGTTTACACAGAGTAATGTCTTTTTTTTTGTGTAGATGGATGCTGCCTTCCCTTTTCTTCTTTTTTTGACTCCACAGTCCAGAAACCCAATCACACTACTATTTCTTGTCTGGATGGATTGTGTTTTCATTTCCCATTTTCTTCTTGATGTTTGATTGCATCTGCTGTCCAAACTCCTTTGTTGCCATGTTATCAATGCACACGATTCATGTTCTATTAACTAACTCAGCCAAGCTTTGGAAATGGTGAACCACTTCTTCCAAGACCTTTGCCTGCTTCAGTTGTAGATTCTAGAATATCAGAAAGGGACAATAATGATGCCACAGGTGAAGATTCAGATGAAGAGCCACAGAAGGTATCTTCTATCAAATTTGCTTTGCAGTTTGGCTCACTAAGTTAATATCTTCTGATAAATGCACTATGATGCTCACAACTGGGATTATCTTCCTCACTCAGTTTTGGATTCTACTTGTTTGTTGTCCATATTGTTAGTTTTGGGTGTTTGAAAGTTGAACATTAAACTTATACCATACCAATACCACTTTCTAAAATATAAAAAGGCTGTAAGTTTGAAAAATCCACTGCTGATTGAACCATGTGGCAGGTCACTAGCAGACAGATAATGATGTTTTTTAGTTTTATCTTTGGTTTTGACCATGAAGGAGTGGATTAAAGATGTAGCTAATTACATTTGATGCAATAAGCAACAGTTTCTTCATCTTTCTTAGACCTTCATGGGGTCATTTACAAAATTTTGGCATCTGGGCCTTCATAACTAGCATAATGATATAGACTTGCAAATGTCTTTTTTGCGACTAGACAACTTCTGTGGGGTGGGCCTTTTAGATTTTACACTTGTTTTTGTCTCCCCTTGGCACCCTTCCAGTTTTTGTGTTTGCAGAAGTATTTCCCGAGCTTGATGCTCCACATAGGTTACTCTTGTTTGCATCTTCTTCTGCTTAAGACATTATTTGTCCCATCTAAAAGGCAATACATTCTTTATTCCTGGGGAAGAGTTAAGTAACAGATAATTTGAAGCCAACATGTTGCAGAATTCGGTCTCATACTCATGTACCCTACCAAATTTACCAATAAACTGTTCGTTGGTTGTGTCTTAAGTGATGAAATAGTTTTTTTCTTTGGTAATGAAATTTTCAGATAGGGTTGTTTCTTATCCTGCATCATCTACCATTAGTTTTTAGTCTGTTGAGCCCCTTTATTTTTCATAAGATCACAAGTGTTCCCATTTAACATTACAATATTGGACCCTGGATAGTAATGTATTTACTCCATCTTGCAGAATGCCAACGGTGAATACAATACAAGTGACTTATTGAAGCAGCATGTAAAGCGTGCCAAAAGGATACGTGCTGGGTATGCATATTTTGTTTTCGTTTTATTTCACCCCTTCTCTACAGGGCTAATCAATTATCAGAATAAATAATATTAGGCAGATACATGGCATTGCAATAGAAATTATTGGTCCATGCCTCTGCGTGGTTGTTATAAATTAGATTAGTGTACATGTTCTTATGTTCAATTGTTCAAAGTTGATAGCTTATTGTCCCAGTACAACTGCTGTTTGTAAAGTGTAAACGAACAACATATCAATATAGTGATCCCAATGGGACAAGCACTTCTCAACTTCTCATTCCTTTTTTTTACAAATGTTTCTCTAACAGGTTGCAAAAGGATCGGAGTCGTCGGATTGAAAGATACAAGCAACGCCTTGCACTTCTTTTGTAGAATCGGCCTGTGACTGTATAAAGCTGAAACCATAGGTGTTTGTCTTTGTAACTTCCTTGTTGGAATTTGTTAAGATGTTTTATTGACTAGCATTGTACGTTTAGGACCCTCTGGATGTTTTATTGCCAGCATTATCTAATAAAATGAAACTGAAACCATAGTCATCTCTGATGCTTTTCAAGTTTTCACATGATACAATTGGCTGAATCCGGCCCACGGGCATGTTGAGTATTCTGAGTTTCTAGCTTCTATCTTTGCGTGGTGAAGCGCTCTCTCATTTCTCGGTCACTCGCTTAAAGCCAAGAATTTGTCGTCCCAATTGCTTGGCAAATTTTGAACCAACATGAGAGAAGTTACCGTTGGGTTAGCAACGTTTCCCAGCACCGGACCCCTGTGTTACAAAAAGGTTCCAAAAAACATTCAATGCAATTTATTTTGTGTCTGGCTATGAAACTTCTCAGGAAGACAGGAACACGGCGCGAGAAGCTGGGAACTCCAAAGCTGGAGCTAACAATCGATTGACCAAATCAAGGAGCAACTACTTGGAAGCCAGAGAGGTCACAATGCGTTGGACTGAGCGCAAGAATTGAAATGCTCACCTACCTTTGCGAATTGCGAGGGTCATTGCAAATGCAAATACCAAGTTACAGATCAAAGAAAAAACAAATCACTCGGTTGGAGGATGACCTCGGCACCACTGCTTTCACACACGACGAGAAGCCCAAATGCTCGAACGCCACTTTCTCAGAACCGCCGTGGTGAAGACAGAAGAGGCTGGGCTCACTGTGGTGATTGATCTCCAGGAGTTGCAACTGCTGCGTGCTGAGATATGCCTAGAGAATAATCAAATCTTTTCCAAGCGGACAAAGCGTCCCCGACCGGACGGCTTCACAGCTGAGTTATCATGGAGGCCTACCGGCCACAATGAGCCAATTTCCTCAGTGCCATTGGAAATTTTCGAACTTCCCTCACTGCCATCGGAATAATACTTCTCTCGTTGCCATTTCCATCATAAACCATTAAGTTTGCTGTTAAGTTGATATGGAAATGACCATTTTGCACCTCTCAAGCAAATGATGAGAAAATTACGAAAAAAATCATTTTAACGATCTCAAATGAAAAAACTCAAAACTAGAAAGATGTATATCTCATCGAGAGCTACAGTTTTCGTGTAAAAATCATCTTCATCCGAGATCATATGAAAAAGATATGATTTTTTTCCTAATTTTCACATCATTTGCTTGGGAGGGGCAAAATGGTTATTTCTAGATCAACTTAACAGCAAACCAAAAAGATTTTGACGGAAATGGCAATGAGGGAAGTGTTAATTTATTCCGATGGCAGTGAGGGAAGTTCGGAAATTTCGATGACAGTGAGAGAAGAGGTAAAAATTCCAATGGCATTGAGGGAATTAACTTGAATATTAATCACTCTACTCCAAAACGCTTGTAACTGGTAGCGGGTCTAGGCTGACCGGTTAAAAGTTTTTAATATTTCTGTTCTCCTCGTCTTTCTCTATTTTTCTGTCTTCCCCTTGTTCATTATTGAATAAAAATTATTGGAAGGGCTAATTGTCTGCGCAAACCGGGCGCGGGAGGATGGGGGCGGGGTGAGCTCTCCCAACCTCTGCTGAGAACTGAAGAGACTGGGGGACCATAAGCCAATTAGAGCATCACCAAGACACCAACGCATACCAACACCGGCTAGTGGTCTGAGCAAAAAGTTACTGGCTTTGGGTGACTGGACTAACTATTATTCGAACGCATACAGATATGAAGTGCTACAGGGCTATGAGCCATCCTTTTCCCTTAGGCACTTTCTTCTCTTGGCTTTACTTTCTCTGATAAGCTATAATTGCTTCTACAGGCTATCTGACACATTGCCAAACC